ACAAAAAGAGTATCAAGAAGGAAGCATGCTGGACCATCTCAAACATCACTGCTGGAAATGTAGATCAGATACAGGTAAGCAATTATATACTATGACAAGCCTATAGATTGTGATGGTCTACTTCATAAGTTTGAAAAGTAAAATTTTTTGTGTGTGTGGGGCTGTTTTTTTTCCTATTTGAATGGATATCTATTGGATCATGAATTTTGAAAATCATTTGCAGGCTGTAATTGAAGCTGGGCATATTGGCCCTCTAGTCCATCTACTTCAAAATGCTGAGTTTGAGATAAAAGAAAGAAGCTGCTTGGGCAATATCAAATGCTACATCTGGTGGTACCCATGAACAAATAAAGTACACTCCCTTTGCCATCATCACTCACTGGGTTCTTATTGGCACAATTTGCTATAAATTTTTAACTCGTGTCTTGTTCATCAGGTTTTTGGTGAGCCAAGGTTGCATTAAGCCACTGTGTGATATTTTGAACTGCCCTGACCCAAGGATTGTCACTGTTTGTTTAGAAGGTCTTGAAAACATTTTGAAGGTTGGTGAAGCAGAGAAAAATCTGGGTCACACTGGAGATGCGAATCTATATGCTCAGTTAATTGATGATGCTGAGGGATTGGAGAAGATTGAAAATCTCCAAAGTCACGACAATAATGAAATATATGAGAAGGCAGTGAAGATTCTTGAAACTTATTGGGTGGAAGAAGACGATGAGCCCTTACCCCCCGGTGACGCATCACAATCTGGGTTCCAATTTGGAGGCAATCAACTTCCTGTTCCCTCTGGTGGATTCAATTTCAATTGAAGGTATCAATTTATACGTCTGATTTCACTATATTGCAGTATTGGTTGCCCTATTCCGACAATTGCACTTAGGCCTGAATTGCGCTCTCAGTATCTCTTCTTTATCGTTTACTCTAAATGGGGACTATTTTAGAGAGTGAATTAAAAAGAAATACTTTGATCTGATCGGAGTCCCCTGACAACCCTTCTTATCGTGGAAGGTTGTAAAAGTGACCTTTCATTGTAACAAGCCTAAATTGTATTATTTTGTGCTTTGCATCCGGAATCAGTCTCATCCAGTGTTCCCATATTTGTAAAGCAATTCAGTTTTGCTGCCTCCGGGCCTAATTGACTGTCCCGACTTATTTTTGAATTTGCAGGACACTCGTTTGGTGTAGAATGAAGCTCAATGGTCATTATTTTCTCGATGTTTCTTGGAGTTCACATATAGTCGAAACAATGCTAAAGTATGTTTCTATGATGTCGCCCAATAAAGACGAGGTCTATGACAAACCATGGTAAAAACGTCTGAAGAGTCCGGTAGCCATACATCTATTATTTTTTCAGCATCCTATTACCAGGATGCAAAGGCTGAGGCTTGCAGCTCCTGCATATGTGAAAGATCCCTTTTTTGTGATAGTTGTGGAGTCGTTATTTTGACTGGTCTTCCCTATCAGTTTCGATGAGGAAAAATTATCTTTTCCGGTAATGTATGATTGTCGAAAACCCGAACGATGTTTTGGAGTTACAAGGTACAGTGTTAAAATTACGGTTTTTCTATATAGAGTTCAATTTATTAACATATTTCTTGTTTGTTTTTCAATGCATTGCACTTGATATGCCTCTTTCATTGCACCCCGACAATGGCTTTCTTAAATTCGCTAGTACAAACTACAAAGAGACCTTCCATTTATTGTACTTTCTTTGCCATTATCAGTAGCACCTTTCCCTGCATATTAGGACAGGTATGAGGAAAGTGCGGTGATGGGCAAAGGCTTTCCATGTAAATCTTATATTCTCCACCCTAATCCTACCTGACCTAATTTTTAGAGTATAAATATGATCTAACCTGGTATAAATGAATGATTTAATTAAAAAATAATAATTTTTTAAAAATAAGTTACATTATTATATGACCTCACCCCTTAAGAATGGGTCGAAACTAATCAAATACTGGTTAAATTGTTATCCCCAACTAAATCGGACAAAAATTGATAGTTTATGTAGTAAACACGTTAAGTTTTTAACGATAGATACTAAAATGAAATGAAAACTAATGTTTGATATAGTTTTGAAAGAATTGAAAGTTTATGTATTAAAACGAATTAAAATTGATAATTTATGTACTAAATGCATAGTTTATCCTTTTAAAATTGTATTTATTTGTTTTTAAATTAGGGGTGTATTTGAAGGAAAATTCTACGGCACTCGACGAGCAGCGATGAGCACCACTAACGACGAATATCATTAATTTAATTTATAAAAATTTAAATTCTAAAGTACTCAACGTATAATTATAAATTAGTTAAAATTTAAAGATATATTATTTAAAATAAAGGATAAACTATACTAGTAATCACCTAACTATTGCTCCTTTTCATTTTAACCAATAATTTTGAGATTTTGTCAATCAAGTCACCCAACTATTTAAATGCATTTAATTAAGCCACTTGCCATTAATATTTAACGGAGAAGCTAATGTGATAATTCAAATATTTGGTCATTGTTACTTATATATTCTATCAATTTGGTCTTAATTTTAATAAATTAAAATTAACTTAATCCTCAAATTTTTAATTTTAAAAGTTACGACATATTCTATATTTATAACAAAACTAAATTTTTACTAGAAATTTCATTTATGATTCTCAGAAGCATCCCGTCAATAGTACCATAACCTCTTTTGGTTTTAAGGAAAATATAGTTGATTAGCCCATGCATATAAATTTCGCTGGACAAAATTTTTATCCTACTACTATTAGTAAATGACATTCTACTAATAAAATGTGATATAGTCTAACCTGTAAAACTAGGAAATTTTTCCAATAAATTTATAATAGAAAAAAGTGACATATTTATTTCACATTTGACGCAGTCTTCCTTTAAAATTTTAAAAATTCATCTCCTACCATAAAATTTTATGCTCATCATTAATAAAAGTTTATACTAATAAGATTCTCGGTGGACTTACCATGAAAAATTATACACTAAGAGATTGAACTATCAAAAGGGCGATAAATTTAGTTTGCTTTAAATTTAATATCATAAAATATTGCTTTGAGTTATTCAACTTTTTAGGAAAAAAACGTTATAAATATAGAATATATCGTAACTTTTAAAATTAAAATAAATTAAAATAAAAAGTTGAATTTTGGGTCATTATACATGATACCTTTTGATTTAAGGGTTAAATTTATTTTAATTTATTAAAATTAGGACCATATTGATATAATATAAAAGTAACAGAGACCAAATGTATAATTATACCAAATATTTTAACTGCCACATCAGTTTCTCCATTAAATATTGTTGGGTGACTTAATTGAATGCATTTAAATAGTTGAGTAACACGATTGATAAAATTTCAAAAATATTAATCAAAATGAAAATGTACAATAGTTAGGTGGTCACTAGTATAATTTACTCTTTATTTTAAATAATTTATCTTTAAATTTTTAACTAATTTATAATTATATATTGGGTAATTTAAAATTTAAATTTTTATACCTAAAATTAATAATATTCATCGTTAGTGATATTATCGCTGCTTGACAAACATAAAAAAATAATTCGTATTTGAACAGTTAAGTAATCGATTTTTTGGTATAATTGTTTGTAACTACACGCGCAACATATTTAAGAACGGTGAGAGAAGTAATTACACTTGTAATTACTATTTTTCAAACTTTTTTTTTCATTTTTTAACTGATAGTCTTCTTTTTTTTCATTTTTATTGAGAGAAAGTTATTATAAAGTAGTATATGTTATAAATATTTTTAATTATTTAATAATAAATGTTTAATTATTTTACTTTAGTTGTTGATATTTAAACATGTAATCTCTAGGAACCAGGACCTCTAGTAATCAAACATCTGTAAGATTTGTAGAGCGCAAGGTTCTTAACCTTGAGGTCGTGGGATCGAGTCCCACGGATGGCATTTCATAATTTGGAGGTCTCTCATGGAAGCTGCTCTCAACATGTCGTTGGGGGCAGACTACTATCCTACCTCCCCCTTACCCCATTACATATGGGAATAAGGGTCAGCTAATTTTATACAATTTAAAAAATATTAGAAGATAATAAATAATTACATTTAAACAAATTATAAATAAATATATTTTTTACTTTTTAGATATAAAATATAAATATGAATAATTATATTATACAAAATAAAAAAATATCAATAGTATATTATTAATTATATAATAATCAAACAACAAAACCGATTTAAAATTATTATTAGACTAAGTAACTTTTAAAAAAAATTATTATAAAAATTACTTTAAACTTTTTTGCATGATACCTAAATAAAGTAAATTCATCTCAATTCTTAAATAAAATGGAAATTAGATATTTTTTTATTAATATGAGGTAATTATAAGATAATATATGTTCAATTATAAAAGATAATTCTTAATTATTTAACATCGAACATTCACATCAATAACCATTCCTTTATTATTGATGTCGTTTGGTTCGTACGAAAGATCGAACATTTAAATATGCTTAACATTACACATTTCTATATATAATATCAATCGTATTAAACTTAATCACTTTAAAAAACTTATTTATTAAAATAAGTGAGCTTTCCTCATTTGTGAACAAATAAAATGTTTTATTCCCCGAAACATGGTACTGGGCCCGAAACATGGTACTGGGAACTTACTAAAACGTAATGACAGAAGTACCCATATAATAGCAATTATGAAGAGTTTGAGACAAGGGTGATTCCGTCAAACCGAGCACGGTTGGAACATTGCTAAAAATGTATCATCTCCTCATCAGGAAGGAGCAAGGAAGTCGGACCACGAATCCAGACACATGAGAAGGATTGTACGTGTTTGGATTGGGACTTGAAGTACTGTTTTTAAACAAAGCCATCATATCTCGATCACCTTAAACCTTGTCCCCAACGGTACAAGTAAAGCCGCCACCACCACCTCCATTGTGATCGTCGTCGTATTGTTTCGAGTCCTCGGACGTCGAGTGATGAAAAGCCGAGTATCTTGCGTCGTCGACGAAGACGACTGCGAGTCGTGCACGTTGGCGTATTGTTGGTGGCAAACGGCTGCGAAATTCGATGAATGCCTGAAGCTGAAACTGGACTTTCCGAACGTTTCAATCCTAACGCCAAGGCTCAGACTGCTTAGAGAGTTGGAGAGACTGGCTTTGATTGCACCCGATGGACTAAACGAGCTTCGGCACAAGCTTATCGGGTATCGTTCAGGCGATTTCTGGGTGCCTACAGGAGGGATCACCAAGGAAGATATGGACATTCCCCCAGTGAACACGATTCTCTTGGTCGGATTTTCGGGTTCGGGCAAGAGTTCGCTTATAAATCTTATGTACAGCATTCTCGGTCGCTCTGGCCTAATACCCTTTGCTCGAACATCATCAGGTATGTTTCAATATGAATAATTTAGTAACTTTAGATGCAGTACAAATTGATTTCATATAAATTGAACTCTTTTCTTTTACCTGTAGGAAGTTCTGGTTACACAACAATGTACCTGGAAGAACACAATGTCCTAAGATCGATGCAAAGCGGCTTTTGCGTTTACGATTCGAGAGGGTTCGATTACGGTAGAACAAGAGAGGCCTTGGACGAATTGTCATGTTGGATGAGTGAAGGGATTCATCATAATCAACCATGCTTTAGTTACGGTGACTGCATGACAACGACGACGATGATGGTGGACGATGCAGAGAACGTCGGAATGAGATCATCTGCTCAATTTGTGCAGAGACAAGTGAATTGTGTGATGATCGTAGCTAACATAGCACACATTTACAAAGCTTTTAAAGCAGGAGACTTGAAGCCATTAGAAGCCACCAGGCAGCTCTTCTGCTCCCCTGCCTTGCGAAAAAGCAGTAAGTTCTCTCTGAATGCCATCTTTAATGGCTGAAAAGCAAATTTGAAGCGTCTTTATACAAGTTTCCTTGTCCAGAACCTTGAATTATACGTTTCTCCACAGTGTTCATATGTCCTTGTAAAGAAAATTGACATTTACACCTTCACCTAAGTTCTATATATATGTTACATATACGTGTGTATATACACATACTTTTGTGAATCATATAAATGAAATGACCATCTAGCTCAGTTGGTAGAGCACAAGGTTCGTAACTTTGAGGTTGTGGGATTGAGTCTATGGAGGGCATTTCATAATTCGGAGGTCTCCTACAGAAACTGCTCTCAATCTAGTGTCGGGGGCAGCCTACTATCTTACCTCCCCTTATCCCATTACATATGGGAACAAGGGACATCCATATTTTATTAATCATATAAACCTAACAATGCCTCCATGCCTGCAGACGAAAACCCTCTATTGATCTTAACACACAGCGACTTGTTATCGACCGAGGAGAGGATCGACGGCCGGCTGAAGATATGCGAATGCCTCCGGATATCGGAGACGAACGGAGTTTACGACATACTATGCCTCAATGAGTATGGATTCCCGGTGGAAGAATCGGACCCGGTCTCGGCCTATGCCTTGACCGAAGCCGTCTACAGGGCGTTGCTCATCTCGGATAGAGGCCACTACCCGAAGAAGAAATTCTGGGACGTGGCGCTATCGGCGCTGCTATGGCTGTTGCGGTTCATCGGCTTTTGCTTCTCCTTCCTGGCTGATGTTTTCTCCAACCTTGGCAGACATAAACTGAAGATGTGATCCGAGCGATCACAAGCGTAGCTTAACACGGGGTTTATTTGTTGTAATAAATAATAATAGCAGTGTTATGGTCACTGGAATAGTTTGTTTTAGCTTTATGAGAGTGATAGGCTAAGTTACTTGACAATGGTGGACCTTTCAATGTCTAACTCACCATCTGGTTTTTACTTGCTGATGTATTGATTAAATTCTCAACCTAATGATTCGAATAAAATGATTTTCTATTGTAGTTTTCATTCATATGATGTAACGTTAAAAATGTTGTGTTTAATCATTACGATATAAAGCTAAAATTTTTATTCAACTTTGCAGAATTTTAATCGCTATAAAGGTTGAGAATTTTAATCGTTGTGATAAGTTTAATCATTATATAGTATTCCCATCTCACTTTTCTGGAATCTTGTCGATATATTAGTCCCGGCATCAGCGAATATAGACACATGTTTTTGTTCGGGTTTCATAATCGAGGCCTAATTTATAAGATTCAAGTTGGACCAGACCTAAGTCAGCAAATTCAAAGCCCAATTAAGTTGCCCAAATGACAAACCCGACCCGACCCAACTAAGATTTCTAAACCCTAGCCCTAATTTGACCTAACCCTAGAGAGCTGCTTCCGTCACATCACCGCCACTGTTTCGGTCACATACTCATGTCATCCGTCAGCCGCCGTTTCAATCACTCAGCATCATCATCTCCTACAAACAGTGAAGAAATTCAGTCAAAAATCAACTAAATCCAAAACCCTTTATTAAAAAAATTAAAATAATCCCATAAAATCGGGAATGATTTAGGGAAATAATTTCCCCTATCAACCGGCCACCATAGCTTCACTAAAATTGAACTAAAAATGCATGTAAACCAACATGCAAGCAGATCGGGGCATTCGAGCAGAAAGGGGATTAGAAAAAGAGAGAGAAATCCAACAAAAAAATCAGACGAGAATTCGAAAGAAAAAAATAAAGAAAAAAATATCGAAAAAGAAAAAATAAGGAAAAGGGGGCTGACCTTCAGTTGGAGTTCCTCGTTGACATTCGGAGGGTCCGATCGTGGATCGATATGGTGAGGAGGAGCGCATAGGAGAGGGGAGTAACATACTCCGAAATCAAGGCGATCTGACGGCCAGATAAGGATTTCAAAGAGATTTAAAGTCAACGATTTTCGACAGATTTGTGGAGCTCGGGATGTTTTTTGAGAAAATCAAACCCACATCTATGCTCAGGGCTTCGAGACGAAGCTACCAGTGTAATCGGGGCTCAAAGGCCACTAGAGTACAACGACCGACGATGGTCAACATGACAGTCGGAGGCTCACCGAGTTTGAGAGAGAGAGAGAGAGGAAAATAAAAAGAGTGAAATAAAAAAAATGAAGGAAAAGGGCTTTATATAGGTCGTATAAAATGGTGTCGTTTTGAGGGGGACAATCCTTGTATTTTTGTGCATGGGCAAATAGTCATTTTGATCATCGTAGTTTTCATTTTAGTCATTAAATGAAATGGTTAATTCATGCGCGTGGTCCTTAAATTATGCTATGTTTATATTTTAGTCTCTTGTTTCCAATATTGCTGAAAATGGGTCTATTTATGTTCTCAGTTACTCGAATTTTTGTTTATATGCAACCTGATCACTATTTTATGCTTGAAAATTTGGATTATTGTTTGATTAGCTCCCTGTATTTTTGTATTCATGCATTTTGATCCATGTATTATTTATTTATCGTATATTAGCCCTTAACTTAGCATGTGCATATTTTTGTTGTAAATATTACTATGCATGTGTTGTCATATTAAATATTTATATGTGTATATCTACGTGTATGTATATTTATATATTTTACTTAGTATATGTATATACATTTTTTAAAACTTTTGTTAAATGCTTTCTTATTTAATAATTTGTTAAATGTAACTCGCTCGAATCTTTTCAAGAACGCTCGTCGTAGAATGGGCGTGAAAATTACGTACTTAAAGGGGAAGTACGATTCGACGACATTCGAACGAAAAGTGAACTTGAAATAAATTTGATCTATTTTCCGTGCAATTTTGTGATTCGAAATAATTAATCATTGTTCGATAAAAAGGATCGTATTTTAATTTTAGAATCGAATTTGCAGATTCCACTGTTATGACAACGTATAAGCGACTAGGTATCAATTTTGGGCATTGTGGGGGTGCTCACCCTTCCCCACACATAATCGACTCACGAACTCTTAAAAATGATTTTTTTGGTAACATAGACCAATTTTTGTCTTTAAAATATTTTTTCTTAAAATTGTTTTAAACGATATTTTTAGGTATTTGACCTACCTAACACAATGGTCGATGGTGGCTTCAAATTCGATCAAATCTCAAATTCATCAAAATCTCCAAATTTTCAAATTAAGTCATAATTATTTTTAATTAGAATTTTTCGTTTTAAAAATGTTATGACAACTATAATAATAATAATAATAATAATAATAATATTATTATTATTATTATTATTAATATTAATAATAATAAAACTCGATTCACAAAGCATTAATTAGAGACTTGAGTAGATTTAGGTATGCAATGTCTAGGTTAAATGAGGTTTCGACGAAGAATGAATTCTGAAACTCATTAAATTTTGAGGCAACGGTTGTTCGAGAGGAAAATACTAGTGCATAATTTGTATTCTTTCTTTAATAGAAGTTATTTATGAATTTTTTTTATCATGTAAGATATTGTCACGGGCCGTGCATTTGGGTCAGAGATATTGACATAGAAGTACATCAAAGATGTTAAATTTGAAGTATCGAGCTTGCTAAGACCACCAGACTTAGTTCATCACTTAGAGAATGTCAGAGAGTTCATTCACATTGACCGTGCAAATATGAAAAGTGACATCATATCAGAAGATGGTCATACGAGCTCGGTAAATATAACAAAAGATAATTAATCAGAGAAGATTGTGGAGGATTCTTACCATATTCAATGTAAACACCTTTCAAAGGAAAGATTCCTACTAATTGATGTGATTCGATGGGATGGGATTGAGTTTTCTTATATTAGGGGATTTTATAGTAAATTGGGATGATCTTAGTCGTTGATATAAATTGATATTAACCATTGATTCTGAGGGAACTCAAGTATAAATAGAAGCATCACCTCCTCGTTTGTTTTATACCTTGTAATCCATTCTTCCGTTCTTATTTAAAAGAGTAATAAAACCCTGAGACATTTACTCTAAGTTATCTTATCTCTTTCTATTGTTTTAGTTCTCTTAGTGCTTGTTGCCTCTCTAGGTGGCTAAGAGTAGTCTCATGGTATTTACACTTCCACACGAGTGTTGAACTTTACTGGCTTGAGTGGTCACATTGTGTTAAAGCTCCTCATCAATCGAAGTCTTGAGGGCTTGGTGTTAGCCTTTGTTGAGTTTGTGTGCTTATAAGACGTGATGTAAGGCTCACTTAAACGTAAAATCCACGAAACGTTGTCAAGTAATATCTAAGGTTGCATGTTTTGAAGGTTCAAGGCCATGAAAACCGCACGTTTTTTAATTAGAGTTTCCAGGAGCATGACGATATGAAATCAATCAATAAAATTAATTTTTTCTATAAAATTTATTACGATTTCATTTTAATATATATATTGAAGATAACATTATTTACATTGTAAGCTTGAGAAAGAAGAAAAATAACTGTGGCTATGGTGATTATGGTTTAAAGAGGAGAGAGGGAAACATGAGATTAAAGAAGAGACGTAGATTTAATGTTAATAAGAAAATAAATAAATAATTAAAATTTTAGTCAAAAATAATGTTGACATGTTTTAATTTTTAATTGACAGATTGTCGGATTCTATAGGTTTAACTTTGGGTTAACTACACAGATGATCACTTATGTTTGTGTTTTATCTACTTTTGATCATTGATTTCAAAAAATAAGATATGTTCACTTTAGTTTTTATTTAATTAAGATATGGTCACTCCAAGTTAAATGCAATTAACAACAGTTAAATATATTGATATAAGCACAAGTTTGGTCCCCATTATTTACATACTCTCTCAATTTAATCTTAATTTAATATAAATCTTAAAGGTCAAATTCTCATTTTAGTCTATTTATTATGCTTAATTTTGTGATTGTTGTTTTTTTAAATAAAATACATTCTTAAATATTAAACTTTGATCATATTTTTTTTATCATTGAGTTATAAAAAGTTAAAATTATAGTACTAAAGTTTTCTAATTCATTTTTTAGTCATCAAACCGTTAATATTTTAATGCAGTTTATGATGTGATTCTTTTTTCTTTTGTAAAAAGATATTAAATCCTTTTAATTATCATCTACCAACGTACGTGACACAGATGGTACAAGAGTGTTTACTTTTTATCCCCCATTTTCTTCTCAATAATTGTGTTTTTCTCAAAATTCATTCAGAATCAATGAAAATCAAGTCCGAATTTTAATCTTCTAATACACAAATCTTTGTCGATAATGGTCCGATGAAGTTAGTTTCATAATATGTTATTTTTCTTAATGAAAGCATGTTTCTTACTATTTAAATTTTTGGTTGATCACGTCCAAAACCATTAAATCTGACAAGGCTTTTTCCCCTCTAAGAAAGAAATAGATGAGTGTTAAAGTTTTGTGAATTTTATAAATATTTTGACAAAATTAAATTGATAAACGATAATAAAACAAATTTATAAGTGTCTAGAGTGACCAAAGATATAATAGAATGTGATAAAATTATAGTTGATAAATAATATAATTAGACTTACTTTATCATATACATCATTTGAATAAATCTTGTGTTTAACAAAATGTAGAATAAATCTTATAGTTAACAAACTAACATAATAGATTAAAAAGTATGATTAAATTGAGAGAATATGTAAGTAACAAGAACCAAATGTGTGATTATATCAAAATATTTAATTGTTGTTAACGTCAATTAATTCGGGATAACCACATCTTAATTAAATAAAAACGAAAGTGATTATTTCTTAATTAAATAAAAACGAAAGTGATTGTATCTTATATTTTTTGAAATTAGTTACTATAAGTGGATAAAACACAAAGATAAGTGATCATATGTGTAGTTAATCGTTTAACCTTTTATAATATCGTTTTATTTATCTAATTCAAAATTAATTTCCATCATAAAGAAGAAGAGAAAATAACCTCAGTGACCGAAAATATCTTATAATATACGATTTTAATCAATTTTTTTGGATTTGTCAAAATGACCAACAAATTCGTAACGCGAACTCCAATTTCACAATTCAGTTTCCAGTTTCGCAACGCGAATCTGTAAATCGCAACGTAAATTTATAAATCGTAACACATAAGTCAAATTCGTAACGAGATAATTAAATTCGTAACACAAAAATCAAATTCGTTTATGTTAATTCTGGAGGAGCCGCGAAGTTGAAAGCCAAACCCACTACCAACTTCTCGGATCTTCTGGGTGCGTCTTGTACCATATACACGTAATAGCAAAAAAGAAAGTTTCAGTACGGCAGTTCCACGAGGCGTTATAAATGGATGCCACCTCAGCTCCCAATACACGCGTCCTCACATATTCTTCTCTACTCCATCTCTTTTGTTCGACCACCTTGACCATTTCCAGATCACACGGAGAAACCAGAGACCCTAAACCCAAAAAAGAGGAGAAGATGCAATCAAGATTGGCAACGGCAGCATCAAGAACGAATTCGCCGCTGTATGCAGCCGGTAATTACCAGGCTTTGTTTCGAAGATTTGCATCCGGAGCTTCCGTTAAAGGAAGAACAGCTGACCCTGAAATTCAGTCCGGTGAACTCGAAGCCGGACCCGAAGTTCACACCGGTGAAGCTCAGGTATGAATTATAAAAGTTTGTCTTGTTTTTATTTTTTTTGCTTCTTGTTGATTTGTTAAAGTTCTAGCTTTTTTTTCTGCGTTTCAGGGCATAGAAAACCATCGAGATGATGACCATGAATTTAATGATTTCCGATCACAGAAAGAGACCAAACCCTGTTCCGAAACGGATCCGCTAAAACGATCCAATCTGCCACATGAAAGTTCTCCGAGACTCAAGAGTTCACCGGTGAACCATCCCTTGGAACCCAACGTTCAACAAAGGCGTACCAAAGTCAGTGCTTCGGCCGTAGAAGAAGTGACCTGTGTAGGTGTCGACGGCACGCCCTTGCCGGAGAGCAAAGAAGGGGACAAGAGAGAGAAAACGAAGGATGACAAGGAGTATTTCAGGGATCACAAGGCGTCTCCTCTGTCGGAGATCGAGGTGGCGGATACGAGGAAACCGATCACGAGGGCCACCGATACAAAACATAGTGGGGGAGATGTGATCGGGTGGAAGCCGGAGCAGCTTCTGACGGCTGAAGAGACGCTTTTGAGGGCATCGGAGATTTGGAAGGAGAACGCCATGCGTGGGATTCCCGAGCTACCGCATTCTCGAAGACTGAGGGAACTGCGTGGTGAATGGTTTTGATTTCAAGCGTACAATTGTATACAAAGGCCAGATAAAATAAGTTCGATGGCGTTGTTGAAGGCCAACAAGTGCGAAAATTGCTTGTGGTTTTTATTTTCAAATGGTTATGAATTATATGAAAGAACCAAGTGAATCGATATTGAATAAGAAAGAAGAGATGACGGTACTCACTCAAGCTAACTGAAACTTATATTTATAGTTATACTAGTACGTTCACTTTATTTCTACCGGCTCGATGTTGCTTTTCTCTTGATCAAGTATCATACAGAAAAGTAGTAGAAGAAAGATAATAAACATCAAGTATTCAAGGAATCAAGAGTGGATGAGGATTTCATTCATTTGTAACTTCATGTTCGAGTGTGGGCTTGGCATAACCAACTCATTTTTGTGCTGGCCAAGATCGGCAGCAGGCTCAGTTCTAGATTCTGTTACTAGACTAGGCATCACAGAGGTATGGCAGGAGACCCGAATTCGATTCTGTTTAATCGGGTCAGATTTTTTAGAAAAATAGTCGTATTGATTTTTTTAGAAAACATGTTATAGGAGGCGCCGTCTTTCCACTGCCCTACGGAGCGGTTCCGTACTTCCCTCCGCCTCATTATCATTGGGCCGGCAGCTCCAAGAACTCGGAACTGAAGCTTTTTGTTTCCATCGTTTTCATATCACTATCAGCCACATTCAGCTTCTTCTAATCGAAGGAAAACATCAAGAAATGGTTCTTCTGGTTTGCGTTTCAGATTTGTATTAAGAAATTTCTTTTGCTCATTTCTCTAGCTACATTTAGGGTTACCAAATATCTAGAAAAAGCTGATAATAAGCTTCGTTTCCATTACATGGTTGGTTTCATACTTTCATTAAATCAAGGAATAATATAGCTTGTAATTTTTGCCATGCAACGTCCCCATTGAACCTTTCAATTTGTTTCATCTTTGCATGGAATAATGGCCTGATTTAATCATTTATGCTGAAAGTGAACGTCCGAAGATGTAGCTAAGATAGTTTAGAATGGAAATAATTTAGAATCATGGGACTTGGGGATTAATTAACTAATTAATTAATCGTGTACATTAATGATAGGCACTGATTCACATGACGAGCGAGACCTGTACGTTTTTAAGGTCAAACGATGCTCTTATTACTCCACATTCATATGTGATTTTTTCAAGGGATTATTATATATTTAAGAAATGATGTATATAGAGCAGAAAATTTTCACAGGTAAATTCACCCTTCAACGATAGGTATGTGATTCAAGTTAGTTCAAATTAATCAAGACGAAGTTTAGGAAGTAAAAAAAAATTACATATAAAGAACTGGAATTTTAGGATGGGGTGAGTCATGTGATAACACATGTTACCTTAAGCTCTCTTTTTTTTTTGGATAAAATACGTATTTAGTATCTAAACTATCAGTTTTGGTTTGATTTAATATCTAAATTTTCAATTTTTTCAAAATCACACCTAATGCTTAATTTTTTTTTTCGTTTTAGTACCCCAACCGTTTAAAACTTAACGCATTTAGTACACAAAATATCAGTTTTGGTTCGTTTTAGTACCTTAACTTTGGTCCATTTAGTACTAAAATAAAATAAAAACTAAACGTTAAGTATATTTTTGGAAAAATTGAAAGTTTAGGTACTAAAACATACCAAAATTGGTAATTTAAGTACTGACTGCGTAATTTACCTTTTTTTCACCCCTTCATTACTGAGGTTAGTTACAATGTAGATTTACTTGGGAGGTTGTCAATTGAAATACTCAACTATTGTCACCACACTATAAATTGACATTTCAATCAAGCAAGAGGTTATAAAGCAATTTATCCAAAAAAAAAGGTTATAAAGCAAGTCTCTATCAAGGATTTATCACTCATATATATAATTTTAAAAATTTATTTATGAAAATAATATTTTTTAAAATTATTTATTAAAATGACAATTATGTTAATGAATAAATGTTAAAATGCTATTTGATTATATCAGAGAGACATTGGCTGTGGTTGATAGAGATCCCAGATTTCATGGTGCTTCTTCGCTTGGTCCTCACATCTATGATTTGCAGGAAAGAGACTGGGAATTGAAATTTAGAGTTGTGCCTCGCAAAGGTAACAAGGCGGGCGATTGCTTGGCGAGACTGGCGTGGAGGTATTCAAATGTTCCAGAACACCCTGCTGCTGCAGAAAGTGCAGTTAACATGGAGGCTGGTTTGCTTTGAAGCTGCATGATGTTCGCTGTTTTCTTTGGCTTTTCTCCTACACAAAAAAAAAATGCTATTTGATTACATGAAAGGCATGCTTGGTGCCTTGGTGGTTGCTACTTCCATGGCTTTGAAAAAAATTATTTAAATAAAAGGAATCCATGCTACGTGAAAATAACATTAACATCATGGTTTTAAATAGCGGTCCGCGACCACGATAGAGCCCGCAAAACAGCGGTAGCGCTGCCTTCCGATATACCCGCTACACCCGCAATAGCGCCCGCTATGACTACAATCGCGGTAAGTACGAAATGACCAAAAACGCGACCGCAACCGTAATTTGAATCCCTGATTAACATTCCCGAATTTTGATCCGATTTTAAATTATATATTTTAGTTTAATCTTAAAAAATACTAACATGAAGAAAATTAATTTAAAAACTAAAAATCACACACACATAAATAAATAGATATCTGCAAAATAACATACAGAAAATAATGATAATTTTCTTAAACTTATTGGTATTATTTTTAATATATTATACTGATCAATTTTACATGCAATAGTTATACACAATAAAATTTAATTAGCATATTTTAAATTTCCTGCATGTTACATTTAAATTAATATTTAATATTTAAAATGGCATTTAAAATAACAAAAAGATATAATGAAATAGTACTAATAATTTAGAGTAACAATTCGAGTGGTGTTCTTTGTAATCTTTATTGTAACACACATATCTCGTATACCTTTATTTATATGAGTTACAGATGTCACATCACTTTTAAAATAGTTTACCATTTGAAAATCCGTACAATTTTGTTTCATTTATAAAACCATTAAAATTTATTTATAATTAAAACATGCATTAGCTTATATATACAGGAGTTCAATTCGAAGGTTTTACAGAGTGTTTTTACTAAACCTATTACATGCCAACTAAAATATATCAAAAGTAGACAAGTATGTCATACTGTTACTGAATTAGGTGACTCTGACTGGATGTCCGACTATCACCTTACTCAGTTTGTATTCAACCTACGCGTGAAATGAACACACGTTAAGTATTACTTAGTGAGGCATACATAAAAATAAGCAATTTATAAACATAATACAGGGTAACACTTCTAATGTCAAGTAATTCTTTACAATTTATTGTAAACCTTATAACTTTGCACCATTGGTGCTATTATGATCTTTTATCCCTATTCTATTCAAGTTCATTTATTGCCTATACGAGAATTCATCAACTCATGATGAATTCCGTGGGCTGCACACATAGTGCATGTACGGTGATTCATCAACTCATGATGAATTCCGTGGATTTGCACACAAAGTGTCTGTACGGTGATTCATCAACTCATGATGAATTTTGTGAATATGCACACGAAGTGCATGTACGGTGATTCATCAACTCATGATGAATTCTGAGAATATGCACACGAAGTGCCTGTACGATGATTCATCAACTCATGATGAATTCCGTGAATATGCACACGAAGTGCCTGTACGGTGATTCATCAACTCATGATGAATTCTGTGAATATGCACATGAAGTGCCAGTAGCACACATAGTATTAATATAATATATATATATATATATATATATATTACAATATATCATTATAACCTTTACTGTACAAAATAAATGCACTCACCTGACTATCCTTGCTATGTATCCAAAAGGTAAGGCTGATTACTCTAGTACTTTTCCTTTGCCCTTAGTTTTGCTTGTTTCAGGAGCTTGGTTCCGATCTACTCAAGCAACCATAAAAATATATACCATACCCAATGTTAGAATATTTCCTAACCATTGTACTTAAATAATATTCATAAAAACATATCATTAACTTTCTATACTAATATCAACTCTATTTTAACATTTTTGGCTCCATAGTATCGATACTACTACCCTAGTATCGATACTTCTATACTATGGTACCGATACTCCCTTTGGGTATCGATACCAAAAATATGTTTGATGTTGTTTTGTATCGATACCCTTATCATGGTATCGATACTACCCTACTTTGGTATCGATACCCCTACCGGTATCGATAACAAAAATAGATTCGAAGTTGCTTGGTATCGATACCCCTTATCATGGTATCAATACTACCTCATCGATATCGATACTGATTGAATAAGTATCAGTACTACTCATCTAATTTATCTCATTTTAGCCTATAGTATCGGTACTGTTCTTAGCAGTACCGATACCCTTGTCCAGAATTTTCAGTTTTCAACTAGATTTTCATCCCAATGTGGTCAATTATCGTTATTTTTAATCCATACAACACTATTAAAGTCTTCCTTAACTATCCATACTAACATTCCTTCATTTAGCCTCTTAGAACATCTAAAATCATTCATGAACATTCGATTCTAGGAATCAAACCACTTTTTCTAATATGTTCTTAATCCAATCCAAGGCTTCTAATCTCTTATATATCTCTTTGGCAAGTCAAATCTACCAGCAAACATCCATAAACACTCCTATTTTAACATATCACTCAAAAACTCATTTTCTTCAATCTCTAATATCTCATCCATAACTTAGTTTTAATCCCATTAAACCCTTCCTTAATCTTCTAACATACTCAATGCTTCAAAACTCAACAAAAAAACAAAGGAATAAACTACTAAATTAGAAACTCACCTTTGAGCTATGGAGGAGGATATGCATGAGAAAGAAGAAGAAAGAAAGGAGTTGACCGAATTTCTCCCCTTTTTCCCCTACTCTACACTTTAATACATTAAAAGAAATGAATATTAAATTTATTTAATTCCAATTGATTAAAATATCCTTTTAATTCTCCATAACTACAATTTAGTTTTAAACTATTCTTCCAAATTTATTCTCATCTATTATAAATTAATAAAATAAATTCTCAAATCTTAAATTCTTTCAATAAAGTCCTTAGGGGTATTACATTTATAAAGCCCTGACTTGTATGTTACTGTTGGTGACTAACTAGAATGAAATGTTGCAAGTCACGGTCCTGAACCTAAAGTCGGCAGAAGACCAGAATTCCGCTGGCTGAACTAACTAATATATACAGCGTTAAAAGACGTGGAGTTAATGTATTATTTTAAAAAATAAAATTTGTAAAATATTTTATAATAAAATAAAATTATAAAATATTAAACTTTATTATATCAAGATTGTTTCTCATAAAATAAAAAAAATTAAATATATAAAATTAAATTTTCTTCACTAAATTATTTTTATGCATGCGTATAGTAGAAAAAATAAATTTTTTGGGTTATTAAATTTTTTCAAAGTATAAGATTTCTAATTTTTAAAGTCCTATAAAGTATCACAAGTTACCCCTATTAATAGAGGGGGATTGCTATTATATTGGCTTAGGCCTCAACTTTCTTAAAACATATAGTGTTTTTAAACGGTTAATTCGATTAACCGACCGAATCGAATTACTAAATTTTATTCATCAAATTTTTTCTCTTTAATTGTTAATCAAACCAAACTAAATTCGGTTAATTGATCGTTAACCGGATTAACAAAAATTTATAAATAATATATATTATATATTAAATATTAAATATTTTTGGTTTATTCGCTTAATTCTATTAAAATTAAAGTTTAAACACACTAAAGCTAAATAATATATATTAAATATATTAAATATTTAATAATTTTAATTAATTCAATTAATTAACATATTTCAAACCGAATTAATCAAAACTAAAATTTAAAAAATCATTAATCATTAACCGATTTAATCCAAAATTAACTTATCGAAATTTCGGTTAGATTGATTTATTCTGTTTAAACGGAATAATGAACACCACCTGCCCCTTGTCTTATGTCAAATCTACGCATCACTGTCCAAGTAAGCAGAGGCTTTGGCAGAATACCTAACAGTTCTCAACTCCCCAGTCCTTTGGAGAAACTCTTCAAATGAACAAATGGTCAAATTTTCCTATTAGTCCCTATAGCATGTGAAAGTCATGGATTTAATCTTTATATTCTAATTGAATCTTTTTAATTCATATACTTTTCAAATCTTAAAGTTTCAGTATTGACCAAATAGTAATCCTAAATTTGTTAAGTCAAATTCTACCGTATGCTATTATTTGTATTACCAATAAATTGTAGATATAAATTTACTCTCATTCTCTCTGTTATCGTTCTCTTCCAATCTGTCCTTAAGATACTCTAAAAAATTCAGATTCTACGACCCGAACCTTTCTCCCTATATACCCAACTCATAGTATGCAAAATATATATGTGTGTGCGTGTTCAGGATGAAATAAATAGGGAATAGTCCAAAAATGAGATGTGTAACACGAGGACTTCCTAGGAGGTCACCCATCTTAGTACTACTTTAGCCCAAACACGCTGAGGTCACCCATCCTAGTACTACTCTCACCCAAACACCCTTAACTGTAGAGTTCTGATGAGATCAGATGCATTAGTGCTGGTATGATCGCACCCGTCATATTTTGCGCCCTTAATTTATTTAAGGTCTTCTCTCTGTTTTCGTTCTCTTTCAATCCGTCATTAAGAGACTTGTTAATTGATTACGTCTTTGTAATTTGATCGTTTATCCCTATATTGTTTTGGATTAAAACTAAAATTTGAAAATTTAAAATGCAAATAAACAAAAGTTGAGCAATTAAAGAGGCTTATGAGAGAATTCCTGGTTGGACAAATCAAATGTTGATACATGTGAAGAAACTAGTAATTAGGTCAAATTTATGATGTCTCCAGATTTAACAAGGAAAATAAATTTCCCCACTGTCAAAACCGATGTTCCACACGCGAATATTGATATGTTTCGATAATAATTTAGTTGTTATAAATATCGTAGGTCCAAAGATGCCCACGGGATCGAAACCTAGTTGTAAATGCATGTGCAAATTCGAAAATGATTTGACTTGCTTCAGTAATTGCTTAAAGTTTTGCCTTTCGATCGCGTAACTCGATTTCACCGCCTAATCAACCATGTGTTCTCTCAGGGATAGTAGTTTAATCATAATCCGACGGATTTAGACGTGACTTGTTAGTATTAGATTTTTTTTTTTTAAAAAAGAAGAAATCGGATTTGATTTGAGTTGGATCGAAATTTTTAAGGGATAAGGTCGGATTCAGGTAGGGGATGAAAAAACTTCCATCTGATCCAAACCGAGGATATTTAAAAAGTATTATTATTAATTATATCCCTATTTTTATAAGGGTTGGATTTATACTCTAAAACTCATATCTAATCGGAGTCGAGCGGAATATATATATTTTTCAAGTCAGGTCAGATCGGGTGATGGATACAAAATTTTCATGTAGTGTTGAATTTCGAGTGGATGATATATATATTTTTAGATCGGATCGATTTAACCAAAAATCCAATCATAACCTGACCTATTGTGATCCCTATATTCTCATTAAACATTTCATTGATCTTAAGCTACAAGCATTTCATGTTTTTTCATATCTTTATTATAGTTCAAAATTCAAATTTAATTTAATTTTAAAATATTATAATATAATTCATTTGTGGTAAAATCAACTAATGCAATTAGGAAAATTCACATGCATTTCTAAAATGGGTGTGTAGGTGTAGCTATGTAGCTCATTCTTCCTCACCCTGCGACCTTCAAATAGCAAGTTATAACCTACCTTACAATTTGCATTCCCTTTCATTACCCTTTCATGATTTGATATTTTACCTCAAACAAACGTCGGTTACTTAAATATAATAATAATAGTTCCAAATTACCAACAATAGTTTAAGTTAGCCCTCACAACGTCGATTAAAAGGAATTCTATTTTACAATACTAATATTTAATTTGATTGCACGAATACCTCATTGGTTAAATAAAATATTATTTTTTTAGAGATCACGATCTTATGATTTCGAACATCAACGACTACAATAAAATAATTGAACATTCATTATCAATTAATTAATAATATATATTTAAAACACCATTACTTTGTAATCATGTTAACTTAATATATATATATATATATATATATATATATATAATGAAATGATCCGAGGGCTACAATGTGACACGTGGAATGGCCACACACATTTAATTCATTTGCGCCTCTCGCATTTACACCGCCACCCTATATGATATATTAATTTATATATATGTGTGTATATATGTGTACGTATCTTCTTCAATCTCCCCACACTTTCTTCTTCTCCCCCGAGGAATACGAATATTCAGAAACGGTGATGGAGGGTGTTTCCACGATCATGTACAAGCGTTTGAGAGGGTACCGGCAGAGGAGGGGCTATGTCAAGCTAAACGGTGGTTCGAGAGGAGGAGCACGGCGGAGCAGAGTGGAGCTTGGCGGGGGCTCCTCGAGTCGGAGGCGGTTCTGGAAGATAAGGGTCAAGGCGAAGGTGAGATTACCTTCGCCGAAGAAGTTCTTTGTTTGGCTACGCAACGCGTACGTGAAGATGATGCTGGGATTAGCCAACTCCAGGGCGGTTACCGGGTACGGCGGAGCCATGGGGGATCACGGGGTGTCGGCCTTCGGGAAGCATCCGATTAAAGAGTACGACGAGAAAATGATCTTCGAGATCTACAAATCGTTGGTGATGTCGCAGGGTCAGCTGATGCCGAGAGAAGTGGGGAAGCTCAGCTCCGCCGTTATTTGTCAACGGTGATATAAGCAACGAAGTAGCTTATGTAAAACCCAGCGGCGCGAAAGGAATTAGTGCATGAATGTAAACTTGATAATTACTTAACTCGATACTAAAATTATCATCAATAATAATTTCACATAAAGTTTTTTTTTGTCCTTTCAATTCTTAAGATTTTGTATTAATTAATCTAGATTGATCCGAATCGTCCACTTGATTTTAGACGGTAAATCTTACGACGAACTCAAAATCAACTTTACGCAATACCAAAAAGAATGATCTTAGAATTATTATGGGCCATATTCGATAACCAAAATTGGATCCAACCTTGCGTAGCATGGAACTGGATACACAGATGTTCAGCCGAAACTATAAACGATTTAATCCAATGGGACCATTTAATTCATCGTTCGTTTCAACCTATGCCTAACCCATAAACGATTAGGTCCAAGAAACTTGCTTCCCTTACCTATAACCCACTTAAGATTATTGTATCTGTTAAACAAACATCAAGTAACGATGTCCATATAGATTAAATTAAGTAGTAAAAAAAGTTAATATTATTGATGGAAGATACGATTTTTGACGGTTGCAAGTGATTTTTTTTTTTTTGAATACAAAGGTAGGCTCACAGCCTTTATATCTGATGGTTCATCTCAGCTTCAACGCCCGCTCGGATCTCCACTGGTACATCAACCTAGAGTACGTACTCCTCACTCGTCCAAGCCATCTTAGCTAAGCCGTCCGCAATCATATTCCCCTCCCGCGGGATGAATATAAACTCCAACTGCCAATCCCGATTCAATAACATCTGAACGTGCGGCACCATTGGCGAAGGGCAACCCGCCATCGTCTTCTTTCTGAACATGGTTATGAGTTCTTTATTATCACTTTCGATAATCAATCCGCATCCATCACCGAACAATAACCAATACGCTTCGAGAAACCAACAACCCACTCCCCCAAATGCTTACGAATAATACCTCCGCACGTAGCAAGACCCGAGGAAGAAGAATATAATACCTCCACACGTCGTAAGTAATTCATTTGTTTTACTTTGAAATTTGGATGAAGATTATAATAGATGGTTCTAATAAATTGAAGAAGAAGAAGAAGAAGAATAAAAAGATGTATAAGAAAAGATTAGAAGAGAGCGAGATTTCAATATTCTTTTTCCACTATGCTTGGTGATTTATATATTGACACCTTGTGGTCGTGGGATCGAGTCCTACGGTGGACAATTCATAATTTTGACTGCCGGAGGTCTTTCACGGGAGCTGCTCTCAACCTGACGTTGAGGGCAACCTACTATCCTACCTCCCCCTTACCCCATTACATATGAGAATAGGGTCAGCTACTACTACTACTTTGTAATACAATCGTATATGAATGTGGCAACTAGCATGGTAGTATTTTGTATTCGTTTGAAGAAAACTATAGGTTTTACTTGAAATATGTTTTACATTTTTCTTAATCGCTGCATATGGTATGAAGAATTTTAAAAAAATTACACAAGACATCATTAAAGTACTACTTGGATTCTAAATTAGTTTTTAAACTTTAAAACATTAATCAAGTCCTAAAAGTACCCATGTCCATAAATCAGGTCTTTCTTTTAATGTAGTTGTTAGAGTATATTTAAAATATGTGTAAAAAGTCCCATATACATGTTGAACATAAGAAACCCATTATGCTCATCATATGATACAAATACCAAATTTGTACAAATTTAAAATTCCGAGTCAATCCCATTAACTGGGTTTAATTCACTGTCTAAACCACTCTCAACTGCTGGAACCGTTCAAAGAAATAAGAGACCTTACAATTTCTTAATATAAGATTCCGAGTCTATAATTTGGGAATATTTTTTTTTCTTTCAAAAGAGTCACCTTAATATAAAAAATGAAAATTTTGCCACTAATCCCAAACCAAATAATTTCGGTGATAAAGTAATTGTTGTTATTCTTTGACATAACCTTTTATCCACATTTCTAAGTATATGCTACTTTCGGCGAACAAAATTATAAACGAGGGAAAATATCAGTATATGTATTATTATTATTATACATGTATATTCACTTGAAAATATCATGGCCTTGAGGGTCAAAGGATATTGGGGCATGGAGTTGATACCATTTCTGGAGGAAAGTAAAGCAATAAAGTGATGGAACTAGCATGATGGAGTTAGGATTCCGGCCTAAGAGGATCAAAGGATCACTCCCCCCCCCCCCCCCCACAAAAAAAAATTGAGGGTTATTTATGCCTTGTTGGGGGTTTTGGGGGGGGGGGGCATAGCCTCTCCCTTCGGAATTAGAATTCTTTAAGCAGGATAACATAAACTTTTATCACGATGCCATTCAATAGATAGATTAAGTATGTTTAAATATAGTTGTCTACTAATTAAAAGTTAAAAGAGTTAAATAGATAATTTAAAACTTCTAATTTATATTTAAAAGAAGCTAAAATACATCAAGGTTATTAAATTACGTTTAAATGATCGTTTTGGTCAGTAAATATTTAAAAATTATAAGATAACCATTAAATTTATCAAATGATTACAAAATGATCATTAAATTGATCCAACTTTTACACTTATTATAATATCAAGGGGATAGTTTTTATAGTAATTCAATAAATTTATTGATTATTTTATACTATTTTAAAATTTAATAACCGAAACAATCATATAAAGATAGTATAATGACTTGTGATTTATTTTACACCTAAAAAATAGAAACCGACTTTTGGGCCGAGGCCTTATCAATTTATTTTGTATCAGCCTCCCTTGAGACCCAATTGGGCTGATTTTGAAGCTGGATAATTTTATTGGACTAATATAGATTTTAATTTTTAAAACTCAATAAAACTAAGTAATTCGTACGTTTTTTTGGGTTTTTTTAACGTCGATCGAATATTTTTAAATTATTTTCACTTTAATTATACATGTATTTTAATTTAGGACAAAGTACAAAAATGGTCCACCGATTATAGGATACTACTTTAATAAGTCCATTGGTTATTAAAAATTACAAAATGATAATCTGAATATAGAGTGTTGCTTTGTTGAGTCCCTCGACTATTAAAAGTTACAAAATGGTCAACAAACTATTCATTATGTTCCAAACTCGTCATTTTTGGTTAAAAATTTGACGGTATTCTGAGCTGAACGTTAACCTACTGGTTGTGATATGACAAAATATAACCCTAGAATCTTGAATGATTATCATATCTCAATCATCATGTTAACGTCCAGCTTAGACAGCCGTCAATTTTTTAATGGAAAATGATGAGTTTGAAACATAATGAATAGTTAGGTGACCATTTTGTAACTTTTAATTGTGGATGGACTTAACAAAACAACATTCTATATTTAGAGTATCATTTTGTAACTTTTAATAGTCGAAAGACTTAATAAAATAGTACCCTATAATTAAGGACCATTTGTGTACTTTACCCTTTACTTTAATGAAAGTTCCTTATTTTATTTTTAGTCATCACTTTTATTAATACACTTGATTAAGAAGAGGGCTTATCAAATCAAATATCACATCCAAATAAGTATAAGAATACATCTTTTTACCACATAGAGACGGCTGTATAATGTGCTAACGAGACATTATTATATGTTTGAGCGACTTCACCAAAATCCTAATGCATTGAACTTGGGCATAAGTCTTGTAATCCATATTGTTGTGGTCCCATCCACGTCCATGATGATTCGTATTTTCCTTGAGGAAAGATGTAATGTAAAATCTTTAAACGTCCAATTGGGACAAGACCCGGCACCAAGGCATGTGGGGTCACAAAGGATCAATCACTATAATACGTTCACTTCATCTTGCCACAATATGTTGCTTTCAACCTTACCCTTTAGGAACCAGACCCCGCAAAAGAGCATGCCTATAATGCCACAATTTGTGGGTACTATGTACATGTTTTGTCTTTCCTTTTGTTCTATGCATGGATGGCCATGCATAGAGTTTTTGGTCCACCTAAATTTAATTTGGATATAATATTTTTCATTAGTCATTTGGTTCGATTTAAATTTAGGAAAATTTTACTAGATTTAAATTTTGATTTGATTTTTAGTTAAAAACTTTTAGCCAATTTAATTTCAGCGATAAAATTCAATTATACAGTGTAATTTTTCACTGAAACAATATTAAAATTAATCTCAGTTGTCTATTTTCACTCGTCGAACGGTTTTAAATCTGTGAAAACTTAAAAAAATATTATAATGTATGATTGGATCCTGACACACACATGTACTATTATTCTCATACAGGGTGAAGTATTTTTCATCCTAAGTCCAATAGGAGTGTATCCTTCAAATAATTTGACTCAATCCAATCTTTTTCCCCTAAATAACCAATTTTATAATTTAAGGTCGAATCAAAATTTATCAAATTCGGTCGTATGTACATCCTTAATCTCTAAGAACTAAAATTAAATTAAAATTTCAATTTTAAAATTGAAAAACTAAAATATGGTTTCTAATTTTAAAATTTATATTAACTATTTAATAATTATATTATAATCATTATTTTAATTTTATTTATACCTGTATATAAAATTGTATACATAGTTTTATTCCTAAAGATACCAAAATTTATGTAACTATTGAATATAATAAAAATCCCAACAAAATTTATATAACCAATTTAATACTAAATTCAATTAAGATTTTTTAGGCTTAAATGCATATTTCCCATGAATTATATATTTTTTATCGAGTTGCCCCTCAAAGTATTTTTTGTACCGTTTTGCTCCTCAACTAAAAATAATTATCTCATTTGCCTCAAATCGTTAACATCGTTAAAATGCAACATAGATAAATTATATATTTAGTCATTCAACTATTCTCATGGTTCTGTTTTCATCACTTAATTATTTTTTCTTTTAAAATAATCACTAAACTTAAGTTTTTTTTTTCATTTTAATCACATAATTTTAATTGCACGTCTGCTTCATCTCTCTTTTTGGTTTCCCTTTTTTTTAATCTAAACAAGGTTTAGATTAGTATATAGGGGTGTTCAATCGGTCAGTTCAGTTAATCGACCAAACCAAACTTTCAAAATTTTATTAACCGATTTCCCCCCGTTTTAACTGTTAACCAAACCAATTTTTTTCATCAAAAATAATTAACCAAACCGAACAAA